TCTCGTGAAATAATTTAATTTTTAAATCGCAATGCGGTGCTCTGTCCAATAGTAGCAAGGGTTCGTTTTCTTTAGAAGAATGTTCTACACCAGAGACGGTTTACTTAGGTAAATCATATATAGGAAAAAAATTATAGAGAATGACATCACAAGAAACTTTTGTTTGAAGAATTTTCTTAAAAAATTGAATTTTACACTTTTAAATTTCTCTAATACGGCCCATTTTAGGGTGGCTCAAATGTGTGGCATAATGAGTATAACTTTTAAAGTAGGTAACGCATATGGAGTTGATGGGGTTAATTTAACTTTCCCTTTAATATTCTAATATCTGTTTTAATAATTTTTTAATAATATCTTCAGTTTGTAATTGTCTTTGTTAATTGTCACCCATATATATATATATATATATATATATATATGAAATTTACATTTAAAAAAAAAACAAAACAAAAAAAATTCTAAAAGAGCACCCAAATCTTTATGTCACAAGACCAGATAAGGGCAATGTAACGGTGATTATTGAAAAACAATAATATTTGGAATTATCCTCCAACATTATAGATAATGATTCTTCTTATGTAGAACTAAATAGAGACCCAACTACCACAATCCAAAATAAGTGTAACCAACTAATAAAAAAACTTTTCACAAAAAAACAAATCAGTGAACCAACAAAAAAGAAACTAACTAGCTATAAGGGCACTTCTGGTAAATTCTATACATTACTGAAAATACATAAGACACCACTAACAGTGAGACCAATTTTGACATCTATTGGTACTCCAATTGAAAACCTCACAGCTTATCTGACAGATATACTAACAAAAGCATATGAATATGACAACGAATTACATCAAAGATTCTTTTGAATTAAATAGACTATTTAACAATACTACTTTACCAAATGGATGTCATACCAAGTCTAGATGTGGTTTTTCTTTTTAGTAATGTATACATTGATATTTGCATCAGAGCAATCGATAAAAAATGGATTATTATTAGTAGGGACTGCAATATTGACAAAGAATCTTTTTTTGAAACTTTAACATTTCTTTTTAATAGTAACTATTTTTGGTTTAATAATAACATTTTAGCAAATTATGTCATGGATGAGGTGTTAGACATTGTTATCCTAGTCCTTCCCTTTAACCTATATTTCATAAAGAAATATGTCGATGACATAATAATATGTTTACCTAGCAATGGGCTGAATGAGGTAATCGAAATTTTCATTAGCTACGATCCTTATATACAATTTACTCTAGAAAAGGAGGATCATTACAACTCTATCCCCTTTCTAGACACTGAGTTTATACGTATGGATAATCGACTGATAATGGATTAGTATAGAAAATCTATCAGTTCTGGTAGATACATTAACTATTGGTCGTACCATTTTTTTCCCCTGGGCTCGTCTGACTATGTGTCTCCGAATAACACTGAAGCCTATTGGCTTATTGTGTTTTACCCCATGTTAGTTCATAGCACCCATTCTGTCACCTTTGTACCTTGTACAAGTTTGTACAGATCCTTTGGTGAGTGAGTTCTATACGTTGTTGGATCAACCTGGGGTTGTCTTTTGCGATCTAGAGCTTCGTATTCGCACAGTATGTGTTTGGCCGTTTCTGGTTTCTTATGACATAGTCGGCACATGAGTTCCCCATTGTACATGCCAATTTTGTTCAAGTGTCCCTTTACTGCGGCGTGCCCAGTCATAAACCGTGTTATCACTTTCAACTGGTTCCTATTCATTAAGAATAGTTCTTTTGGGACATGAAGGCTTTTCCATGTGCCTGTTATGGGGTGCTTCCCCAATAGTTGATATGATGTTCCCGAATCCAGTCATTTATGAAACCCCGGACTGTACTTTTTGGTACTCCTGGGTTTGTGTCTAGTTCCGGTGTTTCTTCTGACCCTCTTTTTGCAAGTTCGTCAGCCTTTTCGTTGCCTTCGATCCCTTGGTGACCTGGCACCCAAAATAGTTTTACTCTATTTCGGTCTGCCAGTGTTCTTAGTTCTTCGATGCATTCCCATACCAGCCTCGAGGTAACTTTCTGACTCGATATGGCCTTAAGTGCCGCTTGGGTGTCTGACATTATTTGAATATGCTGATTTTCGACAGCTCTTTCATTGTTCGTTTTTGCACATTGCAAAATTGCGTATAACCCGGCCTGAAATACCGAGGAATGTATTTCTATAGCATAGCTATGGTTAGTATAAGGGTTTTTGGAGAATTCTCCCGCACCAGTGCCTTTCGCAGTCTTAGACCCGTCTGTATACCAGGTTTGTTCCTGTCGTTGGGCATTGGGCTCCCTTATGGTGATCTCCGCTCTTTCCTGTATTAAAACCTCAAATGGAGTATTAAAAGAGTACCTCTTGGTCATGTGGTTTGATCTCATGTCAAGCACGTCTCCTGTCTCCCAGTGTATTCCCTAATCTGTATCTGTATAAGTGAAGAGGAGAGAGTCCTATTAGTGCTTCCATTGCCCCCGTTATTCCGAGGCAGACAAGTCTTTGTACCTTGCTTAGCCTCGTTATTGCTTTGACATGGTTGTCGTCATTATTAAAATTAACTATATTTCACTATAAATACCATAATTTTTTATTCTTAAATCAATAATTTAAAACTTGCAGCAATCATTTTCTTTCATTTTAATTGTATATGACACGTGCGCCTCCCAATAAGGGTGGTCGGGAATAAAGTCTCATTAGCTTTATGCCACCTCTTTTGATTTGAAATAATTGGCTGTAGGACCTCATTAGTACCACACAGTTAAATTAAATTCTTCTTTTTGGCAAACTAACTTAATGACAGACGCATGGGCCTTGAACTTGACAGTAGCACATGTTTTAAATAATTGTAACCTCAAAATTTGAATAGTTCGACTAAACAACTAGTTAGTTGTAAAATTGTAAATAATTTAAAAAAAGTTTTATTAATAATTATAATGCATCGTCTAACACGTTCTTGTCAGTTTATATATAGTCTAGTCATAATTACTACAATAATTTTCATCAATTTCACGAACCAATCTCACTAAGTTGTAAGTAAACACATTAATTAACTGTTCATCATTCAATTTTAACTTTGTCCTTTGACAAATATTTCTAGATCCCTGAAGATGAATGTATTCACATTCGAAAGCTTATAAGAGTACACATATCATTTTGCTGCAAACCCAATAACTCCAAAGTTTATAAATATTATTGTTTGAGTGTCCACTAAGGTGTTTGTTCATCGTCTTCATCATCACAACCCCTCATTTAAACTCAGCAAATGACGGAAAAAGAGATTATTTATCACTAAGCTGTATTCTGTGTACCTTTAAAATTATAAACTTGGCACGTATTTTTCTTTTGACATTATTGAGAAAACACCAAGAGTTGTTTATTTTGGATTCCGGCCGCGCAAAACCTGTGAGTACCGTGCTTACTAAAGACCGTCGCGAGTTATTAAAATATCTCGCGTGAGATGAAGAAAAAGTATGAATACGTAATATGCAAATCTGGTGGAATAATAAACGAAGTGACGACGAGGAAGAGAAAGACTGACAGTCTGTGCGCGTCGTTAAGACGATGGCGGATGGATTTTACGGGGATGACACGATGAAAAGATGAGTAGCCTTACAAAAACTACCCACCTACTCTTACGCTTTCGAAATTGCGACGAACAGAAGTCATTAGTCAGTTTAATCGAATTTCAGCAGTAATCTGGGTAGAAATAATAAGTCTGACAAAATGAATTCAATTGATATATAGGGTGGTCACGTTTTAATTGAAATGTATGGAAAATTGGTCTAAAAAAAGGTCCGGTTTAAATACATTCTAACGACTCCCTTTGTATTTCATTGCCGGAAATTTAAAAGGGAACGGGTAAGGCACTTCGGGGTACTATATCCGGAACCTGAAGAAATCGTGAAAGCGCCCATCCAGACATATTTTTGAACTCATCAAGAATATTAACCTGATGGGGTAGAAACTGTGAGAGGAACAATAAGTCTAGAGTTTCAGTACGACCTGTTGTGGATGTTAATACGACTATCCAAGAAGATAGGCAATCGCCTATTGTAACTAAATAAATGTCCAATTTAGAGAAAAATACCCTTTTCGGTAAATTTAAGGTAATTTTACTTTTTTAGACCCCATTCACCCCGAAAAGTTTATTGGCCAAAGACAGAGAAATTCTTACCAGAATTGGAAATTGAGGTAGTTCTTTTACCTGGTCGTTTGATAGAAATCTGAAAAATATAACTGGTAAACGAATTATAGATATTTCTCACTTTATTGGCGAAATACAATCGCTAGAAAAACATGAGGGCCACGTTAAAAGCACAAGTTATCTGGCGTTTGAAAAAGAAATTAGAATCGGATTGAATTCAAAATTATGTTTAAAATGTTCGGAATGTAGAGAGCAAAGATATATTTCCACAAACCCAAAAAATGATACTCCCACATGGAGTACTATAGGCACCGGACAGGGATATTCTTCTTTGGAAAAGAGCCTATCACTTTTAGATATTCCACCTTTAGATAAAGAGGTTTATTAAATATCAGGTTTATTAAATATCAGGTAACCAGTGGCTTGAGTGTCTGACAAAATCCATTTTAGGGACAGGAAAAGAAGAATACCAAAGAGCTAAAGACACGGGAAATGTAGTGTAATTGTAGATGCAGGCTGAAGTCATCGTTCATATGGACACACATACACTGCAAAGTAGCTTACATTATAGAAGCTTATAAAAAAAATTGGTATTTGTTGGTATGAGAAACAAATATTGTTCTAATTGCTCAATTTCCGCCCAGACACATGGCAAAGCTCCATTCCATATCTTTTACAGAAACTGGAGTGGATCATCAAGCTGATCTCATCTTAGAAGGTTCCTCCAAAGTGAATCCATGCACAAGCTCCAGTATACTACTCTTATTGGTGATGGTGATTCAAGCGTTCACGCGAAAATTTTGGAAAATGTGTCTTATTGCAGAAAAAATAAAAAAATTGAATGTGCTATCACTTGACCAAAAATTTAACCAAGCATCTACTCGGAATAGCGAAAGAATCATTGGCAAATAAAAAACTATTGCCCACTACCCGAATTAATCATATAGGTAAAACCTGCAGAAAACTAATTACAATACATGCTAAAAAAGATAATCCATCTTCAGAAGATTTGAAAACTGATATCCAAAATGTGGTGCAACATGTATTTGCGAATCACGAACATTGTAAAATAGATTACAGTCTTAAGCATGGACAAGTAAGCATACAAAATGGTTTAAATAAAGCCTCTACTGAGACGCGATTACGAATATTTCGTATATTAGGTAATTTTTGTGTCACATTCTTCCAGGATATGACCAGTAATAGATGTAAGCAATTTATGCATCAAGCTGCAAAATTTAAGAAAAGCAAACAAACTTTTTACGGCCGTAGAAATAGTTTTAATACAAGAGTTTAGCATACCAATTTAATCGCAGTTGGTTCTTAAAAGCATACCGAAGAAAATTTACCAAGAATACTCTCAAACGGTTGGTATATAAAAGAAGCAAGAAAAACGTCAATTTAAAAATGTAGAAAGAGACTGTTTACATACTTTAAACTCTAAAAAAGAAAATGGAATACATTGTCAAATACCTGACCTTCCCGAAGAAGAAATCAAAAAACTAATAGACCAACAAGTAGGACTATTAGACGTATCCATTGTTGAAGTTGACGGAATTGAACAGTCTACAAGACGTCAGAGTAATAACCCAAAATGGTTCGAGGAGAGACAACCCCGTCTCACAGCTTCTACTTTTGGAGACATATGTAAAAGAAGACTATACTTCGAAAAATTGGTTAAGACAATTATTTACAAAAAACTACCATCAGCTGGAATATGGAAAGATCAACGAAGATGTAGCAAGATAAGCATATACATCTTTAACCAAAAATATTGTGACTTCTTGTGGATTATTCGTCTAAGACTCTAAACTGAAAAAGGATACGGGTTTTTAGGAGCATCGCCAGACGGTCGGTTGGTGATGACAAAATTTTCGCCCGGGAATATACTACTAGAAGCAGCAAGTTCTATTAAAAATTTTTGTTGTTACTTAGCTGAAGTTGGATGCAATACGTATTTAACACGTTGGCTCCCAAGCCAAATTTCAGGATTCTGTTGTCTGTTGTGCTGTACCATATAAGTCACTAGTGATATATTCAGTTCGGGTCTTCTATGTACCGTGTGTATCACTACTGATTTGAGCATTGCTTATTGCAATCAGTTTTAAAAACGTATGGTTAGGATTTTAAACTAAAGAACTGGTACTGGAAGGAACTCAGTAAATAGTGCATCACCAGTATTATACATAAGTATATAAAAATTTGAGTCTAGTTTGACATGAATTAAGTATAGCTATTGTTGTATTTATACATTTTTTATTTTAACAAAAAAATATATACAAAGCAAAAACGTTTAGGACATATATTAAAAGGTTCAAATTTAAATCAAAACTATTTGGTATACAACATGAAACTTTAGACTTTCTTTTGTGGTCCATGAATACAGTCAAATTATGTATTATATGTAGTACACATGGAGCCTAGGTGTTAAAAAAGAATCACAAATATTTTTATCAAGTGCAAGGAAAACTATATATCGCCAAAAGAAATAATTGTGATTTTGTGATTTGGGCACCTAAAGGACTACACATACAAACGATTGAATATGATGAAAAGTTCACAAAGGCAATGATTAACAAGATAAGCACATTTTTTTATGATCATTATGGGGTAGAACTTGTGGATAGTAGACGTTAATGAAATATGGAACTACGAAATTATTCAAATTGAAATAAATATCTCGGCAGGCAATTATCAAGTCACACAAGTTTTTACAAAATCTGACAGCAGAGACAAATCAATAAAAATGTAAATGAACAAAACTGCTACAACTTAAAAATAATATTCTCGCACAAATTTTAGAAAAAGGTCTTATGCTCCTGTCACTGCGACGACGATTAAATCATCCCTTCCTCCAGAGGAAAGGCAGAACTATATTTGTCAAAATGTTTTATCCAAGTTTACACTAAATCCTCATAACAACTAGAAGTTGTTAACTACTATTCCATTAGTTTTTTTTTTGATATCTTAAACTCTCTTAAAAATTTCTTATAGCCCTCAAAAAAAAAGTCTATTATAAGTACCTAAGTCCTAATTTTTTTTATAACTTTATATTTGGTTTAATTTATTTATTCATTTGAGTTCCTCCCCCTAGTGAAGCTGCCTAATAAATTTAACCTAAATTATTTTTATTAACGCTTTGTAATTAATACCTAAGTATAATCGTGTACATGTAAAATTCGTGATAAAAAAAACAAAAGCAACCTATAACTTAACACAAATAAATCAAAAATTATTTTTAATAAAAACTATTTATTCTCCTTTCTTATTTATATGCTCTTCCTGTATACAATTATAATTTGATTCCATTTATACCTAAAGCAATGAAATAATTCGTAGATGTAGGCAATAAACTTTTTAAATTTCTTGAAATTATAATAACGGGCAACCGGCAACGTTGTGCAAAGACTTAACCAACAATCGTGCTACCCGTGATTAATTTGATCAAATGTTTTTAAACATTCTGATTAATATTGTAGAGGCAGCACCTTCCACAGCTTCAAATCTAACGTGGGAATTTTAAATCATATTATGGTTTTATTCATTTATTTTTAAATACGCTCAATTCAGCAACACAAGTTTATTATTCTAATTATATTCAACAAGTTTAATAAAAAATAAATTATTTATGAGTATATTAATATATTTTTTTCTTTTGTGCCAAAACTGTAATTTCAAAAATTTTCAAAAAAATTGCACATATTTATTTTTAGTAAAAATCATTTTACAAAATATAGTTGAAATCGCTTGAGTAGTTTTTTAATTTTATATGTGGAAAAAACAGTTTTTCTTGTTTTTTCTCAAGATTAAAATTTGGGAAGATATTAGCCAATATCTCATATATACCCATGAATTTTTTGAAAATTTGCAGTTAATTTTTCCGGAGGTCCATTTAAACCTTAATATATATTGCAGATAATCACTAAAGATGGCTTAATACCGAAACTGCTTTGCTATTTTTATACAAATTTTGCTTATTTAAGCCGTTAATCTCTTTTTGTTCCTTTTAATGTTTTGTAATCTACCTGTACTTTGTTTTGTTAATTCGGTGAATACCATTTTTTTCTACTCTTGTAAACATGCTTCTCTAATTGTTTCATGTTGTATAGCGTATTAAATAATTAAAAAAAATTATGCACGTATTTAAACTAATTACGCAAGACTTTTGTCATTGATATTATTTTAGAAATTTGTTAAAAATAAATATACGTCCACATTGTATATTAATCGATCCCAGAAAATGCAGTTTGACAGTGTTCCAACACAGTTTGTTATTGTCTATTAAAAATCCTTTGAGACACCTGGGTTTTACGTAAACTTAAAACGAGATTACAATTTTGATACATTGTTGACTGGCTATAAAAATGAAATTTTAAAATGTTGCATGCATAGACGCTCAAGATTTAAGAATTTTTACAAAAATATCTCTCGACTAGCAAGTTTGTATATATGCACACCTAAATGAATTTTTATTTTAATAATATTCTGTTTAAAGTATTACACTAAAAAATAGGTACATTACTTGGCTTGAAAATATTTTTTAAGTAGCAATACAATAACTAGAGCATAATTCATACATGTTTTATATGAGCCACGTCATTGATATCTGCGAAAACTATCGTTTAAAAAAGAAGAAGAATTTTACACTCCAACATACTTTTACATGGTCTTCTTTGGAAAAATGTTTTCAAATTTATTAAAACTCCGGATTAAATCCAAACTATTATTGTTTTAAATACAAGAAGAATTTTACGCTTCGACATACTTGATTTTTCCATTGCTTTCTTTGGAAAAAAGTTTTCAAAATCATTAAAACTCTGAATTAAATCCAAATTATCGTTTAAAAAGAAGAAGAATTTTACGTTCCGACATACTTGATTTTTTCCATGGGCTTCTTTTAAAAAATGTTTTCAAAATTATTAAATCTCTGGAGAAAATTTGAAAAAGCTGAGAATGAAAGGAAAGAAAGAGAAAAGAAAAAAGAAAAAAATAGAAAGGAAAAAGAAAAAAATATTAAGCGGGATGCCGACTAAAATTTTGGACAAACTGTATAGCTTATTTACTTATTTTGGCTGAATAGAATATAAATCAGTATAGAACGTTTATAAAAAAAATGATGTAATGTAGTTATTACCTATATTAAATAATGTACTTGGTAATTTCCATTACATTTGCACTATGCATCGGTTCTAATATACAAAAAAAGTATTATTTATACTTAAACTAAAAATACTCAATTCTCAGAATGTGAACCTCGAAAAAGCATGGCTAGCGTTCAGATGGTGACGGTTTCCTTTATTTTTAGCATCGTAAACGTTGAAAAGCAAAACAGTGAACAGATGCATTCCCCCGTTGACTCCAAACGACCGATATTTTTAAATTTAAATCATACGCGTTACAATATCTATTTTCAAATCATTCATTATATTCCTATTCCAGAATAAAATATAATATTTCCACTCATATGTAAAAATAGCTATTTGTGTACAAAGGCCGTAAAATTGACCTTCTTTGGCCGAATTAGAAATTTGCGGCTGAGGCGTAGCCGAGGCCAGACAACTTCTGGTTAGGCCACAGAAGATCATGCGCTCGAGGTGTAACTTTTAGTGACAATCGCCAAAAAACATTTGCTAACACAAACAACTTAGTCTGCATTTGTTATGTATTTATATATGTCGTGTCAGTTTAAAACTTTTTTAGTTTACTTTTTTCTTAACTCCCTAAGTCTACATTTGTAACTTGATTAAGTTATATTTATAATAATACTTCGCTAAACATTTATGTCACAATATGCTTGTCGTAACTTTTATACAAAAGTTGTCTCTTCTTCTCTAAATTGTTCCATTTTCAACTCAATTTTAACTCGAATATCACCACCAATAACAATAACGCTTGTTATTTAATATCACTTGCTGGGAATACTCCCAATAGTCACTTCAGTTTTGGTTTATACTTTCGTCTAACAGTATTTAATGGAGGAAAACCTTGCTCTATCCCAAGAGCGGCTGCTAGCTCTCCAGCTTGAGCAAGTTTTTCCTCGAAAACATTATCATCTCCATAATTTTTAAAATTATCAACTAGATTCTTTAAATAGTTTTGGCATACTTTAATATCAGTTACACTTTGCATCATTTTGCTTACAATGCCAATCTGGAATAAAACATCATACCAAATTGTTACACTGCAAATAAATTTAAAAGATTGGATACTGTGACAAAGTCACTAAAATTCCCATTAATTTATTCCATAAATTAATTTCTAAAATTAATTTACGTCTATGAACATTTGCAAGACCCCTGTAACTAATATTTCGATAGCATTACCGTTTTTAAACCTTTGCAAGAGCCCTCGTAGTTTAAAACTTTTCATTATCACAATAAATTAAATCGTGTCGTAAAATCGCAATTCTAGTAGGTTTATCAGTAAGCTGATCAATTAACGGGTTTTTTTTGCAAAACAACTTATTTCAGAAGAGTAGGAACTACCGTCCCCACTCCGGCAAAAGTACGACTTTTGATAAAAGTAGATGTTTTCGATGAGAGAGCCCTTTTTCCACGCCGTCTGTGCTCGCTTCTTAAAATCGTTTTACCGAGTGTGCCGGATTTCAGTGAAAACCGTTATTTTTTCGAGACAGTGAGAAGTTAACCAAGGTCGGCCTTTTATTTAAAATTCCGTCTAATAATTCTCCCTGCAACATTCATTTCCGTTTCTATTAATTACCTAAGAAATTCGACCAGTATTTTGGATTTCTTAGTACCTGTCAGGGTAACAAATTGGATTTAGATCCGGGGGCATTAGCACCCTTCAACCA